CAATTATTGGTGAACACCTTTTTTATCATTTTCGTGACACAATAGGTTACCATTTAAAAATAATAATCAAAGTAATACTTAACAACGGAACCCAACTCGCCATGGTGGTTTCCAGTGGGGCCCTCAACAAATCAAATTAATTAATTAACTAAATCCAAATTTTTACCATGGGAACAGTATGGCCTACTAAAAACACCCTTAATTTTAGTTACTTCCTCTACTGATGATTTAGTCTCATCAGAATGAACTTAAACCAGTCCTTTCTTTCGAATTTAATCATATGAACCAAGAGAATATAGAGAAATAGAGAAATGGCTGATCCATTTTTGTAGCCTCCGTATGTTATCTCTTTAGGTGTAATAAAAATTTCTCTGAATTTAATCCTTACTACATTTATAATTTGCCAGATTACTCAAACGTCCACCGGTGGCAGGAGATCCCTTCATCCAAGCTCGACGCAGAAGATACAAACAGAAAATGGCGTTTATGACCACAGCAACTATCTCAGCTTTTCTGCTGAGTTGGTCCCCATACTGCTTTGTCAGCTTCTCGGCAACCATCACAGGACGTAATTTGCTCACACCCGGGGAGGCAGAGATTCCTGAGCTAATGGCCAAAGCCTCTGTTGTTTATAACCCCATTGTTTATATGATTATGAATGAACGGTTTCGACGGAAACTCTGGGTCATTTTGTCTGGAAATGGGGGGCATGTGGTACCTGGCTCTTCAAGAAACAGGACGGACAATCTTGCGCAGTCAAGGATTGAGATCTCGACGAATATGTAAATAAAATATCATAGGCCACATAGCGAGTGCTGAAGAAATGGCAGGGATCGAGTGGGCACGGCCGCCGTGCGAGAGCGAGAGGAAGCACTCCCTTGGGTACAGTACAGACGCAAGGAAAACTTTGGTCTCCTATTTCCGCGTACCTACCGCTTCAAGTCGCTCCCTATTACTGAAGCATATCGAAAACATTCGTCTGTGGGAGCGAAATGTTCTTGAAGTAATATATCAAACACGAAAGACCGTGTTTGACCACATTTCCAAACACCGGGAAGAGAGTTGAAAATACGGCGCGTAGCGGAGTATTTTTGACCAACCTCGAGGTGTTTGGAAATGTGGTCAAACACTGTCTTGAATGTTTGATATATCTTCTCAGTCGAAAACTAAGGTGAAAACGGGGAAATGAAATGTAGTATGCTAATTAAGATCAGACAACCAAACACTGCATGTCACGGTCGTGATTTCCTTTGGTTAAATTTGTGAATTATTAATGAGTTTCAGAAGAGAGCATCCGTATTAGAACTTGAAATGTAAAAATGTATATGTGATTTTGCATTTACCCGAGTAACAGAAAAGTAAAACGGCTCTCAAGAACTCGTCATAAAGTCTGCGTGCATTGAAATCGAATCGCCTTGTGGCACATTTCCATTTTATCTTGATGCATGAACAATATAACTATATAATATGTTGAATTATTCTCGTATTTTGATTGGTTTTACTTAAGATCAATTGGAAGACAGACAAATAGATGACGTCATTAGCATTTTTTGTTGTTACTTTATTATATAAACAAACAGATTCCATATTGCCCTGCGTCTGTTCAGGAATATATCACAGATGACGTCAAAATGTGGTAAGAACATCAGTGACACACTCAGCTATGGTCTTGCCTGCCACGTTTTTGTTCTTACCACATTTTGACGTCATTTGTGATCAATTAATGAACGTACATACGGCGACTTGGAATGTGTTTGTTAACAAGCTTTCAAGATTCCTTCCGTGAGTACCTGTGTCGTTTCATGAAAATCGAGAAATGTTTTACACGCAAAATTCCATCTGCTTAAAAGCTTAACATGTGCTTTTATGAAACGGAAAAGGTGATGGGGTGAGGCCCAAAACGAAACTTTTGAAAGGAAAACATTGGAAGTTGGGTTTTAACAAGCAATGTATTGATTATACGTAACGCGCGAAATTTGTAATATAATTACCATGTAAAAAAAGAGGCACGTAAAAATTAAATGCAATTATTATCCAATATGTGTGCAGTTAATACTTATATTTCCGCTATTGGAGCTGACCTTGCAATATTTCACTGGTTGGAAATTGTAGAGCACCTATATCCCGAGCTGGTGTTGCGCAGGCAACCACAACCCCTTCTCAGATGTAGATAGGGACCTTAAGCACAATCACGAAGGCAACGGCAACGAGAACGCCACCAAACAAAAGATTTTATGAGCAGAACAATGGCTGAGTACTTGCGTTATCAATCTTGGTACATTTCTTAGTCGTCCTATGCAGAACAACAACGTGAAATAGCTAATTTTTGCGTATTTTGAAGAACGCGAAAGACAGCGGCTAATTTTTCGCATTTCCATTTGGAGTCACGGCAACGCTGGCATTTCATATTTAGCTTGAACAAGGTCTGAGACCAACAGGCGCACTGAACAGATCTAGACAACTGCGAAATTTGAAGGTAAAATAAAAATGCATTTTTTAC